CTTACATTGCGATTTTAACTACCTGGAACTATTTTCATAGGTAAGTTAGTTATGTATTCATTCCTACAACATAATCATAAAACATAGGCATAGGTTGCCTTGATCTATTGCACAATAATTATCTTTATGCCACACTACACTATTTTGAGGAACTTCCCAGCAAGGATTTAGTCCAGAAAACAGCTGTTTGCCACCAGCTTAATCAAATGGGGTTTCATTGACTACTGTTACTGTAATGAGTTTTACCTGACACCAATCAGCTGGTATTTGGGTGGCAATGAGTGGTTATAAACAAAAATATAACCTCTGTTAGAGGTTATGACTAGTAATTTTTAGTCCTTTAGTTGGTGGAAATATACAAGGATTTGTACAGATTTAGTAGTATGGTGTAAACTATTGTACGTAACTCGTCCAAAATGTGTGGTAAACACTTATTTTCAGGAATAGTAACGTAATATTCATATCATTCATTATTCATTCATTCATTATTCTTATATATATTAATATCAATAAAATATTGTAAGTTAACAAGAAAGATGCTTTCCTACTGAATAACAATATTGCTTATAATGGTGACTTAAAGTGTGTGCCCTTTCAATACCATTGCTACTACAGTAGGACCACTCATATTCAGCCTTGGGTTTACCATTGACCATTCACAGAATAGACTTCCCATGTGATATAAAAATTTCAAGCAAAAAATAGATGAAGTTCAGGACCATCTCACCAGAGTTTACTAGTATATTGGTTTAAATATTAGCGTATCATAGGAAACAGCTGATTAATTTATCACTTAACACAGAATATTGTCATTAGTTGGTAGACCATCTCAACAGATTGCACCACGTTTTTTTGGCTTCAAATTTTTATACAGGGTGGTAAAAAAGTCCCTGGACAGTTAAATATTTTAAAAAATAATGAAGATAGAGCTACAATACTTGGTACAAAGTTACAGGGCATAAAACTCTATTTTAACACATATTCAGTGATCCAACAACTCTTCAGGGGGACGGCCCACAAGGAGTCGGAAGAAAATCTTAAATGGAAGCTTAGGTCAATATGCACATCAAATTAAAGGTCTTTTTTGGTAGAATACAATGCCGCAAACCGCACTTCAAAAGGTTGATCCTGCGCAAAATGACAGTTGTTCAAAGATTCATTTAATTAACATTGCTATTATACACTTTCTCCTCAGGGGGCACAGCCCTAGGAATCGGAAGAAAATTGTTAACGTAAAAATAGGTCGATATGCACATCAAATTAAAGGTCTTCACTTGTAGATTACGATGCCGTAAATTCAAGCTCAAAAAAATGCCTGAGTAAAATATGGCAGTCGTTCAAAGATTCAAAATGGCGGATTCAAGAAATCTTTGAACATCTGCCATTTTGCGCTGGATCAACCTTTTGAAGTGCGGTTTGCGGCATTGTATTCTACTAAAAAAGACCTTTAATTTGATGTGCATATTGACCTATGCTTCCATTTAAGATTTTCTTCCGACTCCTTGTGGGCCGTCCCCCTTAAGAGTTATTGGATCACTGAATATGTGTTAAAATAGAGTTTTATGCCCTGTAACTTTGTACCAAGTATTGTAGCTCTATCTTCATTATTTTTTAAAACATTTAACTGTCCAGGGACTTTTTTACCACCCTGTATACATGGGAATCCTGCCAAATGACAGAACTAAAAAATTTCTGAAACCTCACCAAAGTAATCTTAGAAAATGTTCACAGTCCGTCTATTAAGAGTTTGTACAGTATTCAAATCTATTCACAAACCCCATTTACTTATTGTTTGTTGTAAAGTGTACACTACTTCTCTGATACAAATTATTTTAGCCTCTAGTAATCAGAATTAATTACATTAACTCTACAATTTATTAATATAAATTGTAGAGTTAATGTAATTAATTCTGATTACGGGTTAAATTGCCTTCTTCGACTTAGTTCCAAGCCGGCCTGATGTGGAGAGTTAAACTGTATTAGTTAGGAGGGAACCATGCAAAAGAAAACATTTGGTATAGATAGCAGAGGCATTGATTTCAATAAAAACTGTTTACTTTTTTTATATACAATACAATTCTAGTTACAAAAAACTTAAAGTTACACAACAGAAATACAATAACAATATGCAGTCTTAGGAATATTGTACAATATAAAACTACTCTATAAGTGACTTCTATTGTAAGGCCGGAGACGTTGGCTTACATTACAAAGCATGTTAAAGATCTTTCAAAATATTTTAATACATATTTTAATAAATGGCTTTATTTTTATGGGACCAATGGTGTGGAGAACCAAAGTATCAAGACTTTGATCAGCGACTTTGATAAGGCTAATGCTACACGAGGTGGTTTGTAGTTACAGCTGATAACAGCTGGTTTATAGCGATAAAACCGCAAAGTGGAAATTTAAGCTGACAACTGTCGTGCGAGGATGTACCTGGGTCCATTTTTGCAGCTGACATTACCGTTGGCTAACTGCCACACGGGCGGTATTCAGTTGCAACAACGTACGGCTGTTTTTAACGTTTTACATGTAAATCCAGCAAAGATTATTTCAATTTCCGAGCTGAGAAAATCGCATTGTGTGGCATTAGCCTTACTTGTTGCCAAACTGCCTTTGCGCAAAAACAAATCTAAATTAGGGAAATTAACTATGGGCCATTAGGAAAAATTTATCACTCTGAAGTGAACAATCAGTTAGAACTTCATCTTTTTCCACACCATTTTTACACAAACCATGGCTTGCACTTTATAGGGCAAAAGGAAGAGTGCAGAGGTAATTCTCAATACCCTTCAGGAATGCTGCTTCAACCCCTTCACAATCAATAACCAGAAGTTGAGACTACCCTATAATGATAAGCTGTCATTGTTGTCGAAGCAGACATGAACATCGCTACGCTATACACAAGCTAAGAGATCAAGAAGAGGTAGCTCCACTGTATATCTGCTGACGTTTACAGTGACAATAAGTGCAGGTTTAGTAACACTATTTAGAAAACACTTCAAGAAACCTTCAACAACAAATTATGTAAATAAGCACTTAACTTGTCAAAACATCCATAAATTCTCAGTATACGGTTTGGTAACCAAATCTAAATAGGCCTACCACATAAAACCACACATAAGTGATTACGATGAAGCTTATGAATCTCTAACAAAGGACATAAACCAGAACGGCCAAAAACTGATAATTTGTTCACCAGCTGTATGAGTTAGAGGTAGTGTTTCTGTCGAACACATGGTAACTTAAGTATGCGAGCTGCACCTTAGGACAGATGCCATAGTGATGATAAGTGTTGAATGAGAGAACATACAAGGTGGCATTGTGCCCAAAATAAATTAGTTAAACCTTATTCTACATGAAACAAATGTAAATATTATTTGTCTAGTGGAACATTGGATAAATTTTGATCAGGTAACAGTTTTGAATTGTTTAGAAACATTTTGTTTAGCTGCCTTTTATTGTAGACGAGAAGGTAAATGTGGTGTACGTTAGTTAAGTCAAATGATGCAGTTTTAAGATTTTTATAAAAATTTAGAATTATTTTTGGATATACTAAAAAAGAAATAAAATAGCTTATTCCCTATATGGGAAATTCGCTAAACAGCTCAATTTATGTAACAGGAGATTTCAATGTAAATTTTTTATAAAACTGTAAAATTAACAAAGCTGAAAAAGACTCTTTTTATAAATCTAATTATTTCTTATGGTTTATTTGTATTACTCTGAAGGCCCTAGCAGGATAACACTATCTCGCACTTGTATTAATAACATAATTTTAATTTTTAATAGGAGAAAGAACTTAGTAGTAAGTTCTATTATATACAATCTTAATTTTTAAGGTACTTAAACTCATAGGGTAATTTTAGTTTTCCTTTGTTAATGTTATCAATGATAAGGTTTACTTGATCCGCTGTTCTTCCAACTAGCTCATCATTGCTAGCAATCAATTCACGGCACCTTTTTCTTCCAGGATTTGTTCCATTTTTTATAAAGTCTTTAAATTCCATTATAACAATCCTCTTTTGTAGCTCTGTCCACTTTTTTTTTAAATGAGAAGAATGTTCCCTTTTTTCAGATAAACTGTTGTGTTCAAAGTGTTTTTCCTTTTTAGTTATTGTTCTCGTATTTTGAGGAGTTACTTCATTGTCCTCTTCGCTTTCATCAGACGTATATTCTTCAGATTCGCTCGAAGAGTATATTTTTCTCTTTTTACTTTTTCTTTTAATATTTGAAAAATTACTAGTTTCAGAAGATTCCCTCAGCTTTTTTGAACCCGGCCATTGAGTTATTAAGCTTCTGAATTTGATTCGTTTCAGATCTAAAAATTCATTTATGTCCTTCTTAATTTGCATTTTATCATTTTCACTCATAGATGTATTATTTGATACATCTGTAAGGGCTTGCGCTGTAGTTTTGTTTATCACAAAAATGATTCTAAATGGTTTCTTTGTAAATTTTATTTTTCCAGTCTTTTCGTCTAATCCGCACATCTCTTTGGCCGTTTCAAAGACAGTGTTAATTTTTGATGGCTTGAGTAAGTCGTGAAATTCCTTTATGGTATTGTCAATTGACATTGCACATTTTAGTAAACTTCCCCCGTCTCTTAGAAAGGTTGATGCGCATTTAACTCCAGTAAATTTTGATTCATTAAGCATTCTTTCTAAAATACTACTTGCAGTAGCAACAAGTAACGGATCATTCAGAGCAATTCTTGAAATATCGTCTCTTTTAAGTTTAGGCAGCACCAATTGTATAAATTTACTGCTAGCATGGGGAGGTGGAATCGGTGGGTTAATGTTGATGAGGGAAATGCCATAACATTTAGCAGCAGATCTTGGATGAGGTATATGATCATGATTCTTGACGGTGACCTTCTCTTTTAACCTTTTGAGACTTGACTGTAATCCGTCTTGCATGTTTTTGTCTTCCTTGGATTCAGGTGCAGAGCCTATGCTCTCAGATACTTGGGTTGTTTGACCAATCTGTAGACCTATTTCATTAATTGGTTCTACAGAACATTTCTCAGGTAGTTTCTTCTGTGTTAATTTGCTAAGGTAAACATTATTACTTTTGAGATGCAACATCCTTAGTATTTTTCTTCCTTTTGTTATACTGTCTTCAGTATTTCCATTCATCAAAGCCATGTACTCAATTATAGTTTTTTTACCGTGATGTCTCTTCAATATGTGCTTTATGAAGTTTAAAACGATTTTTCCACAAAATAAACAGTAGTGTCTTGCTCGTACAATGTTTGATTTAGTCAGCTGGCATTGTTCATCATAAGTATGCTTTAAATCTTTACTAGAAACAGGTAAATTATGTTGATTCTTGTTCCTTGATAAGCCTAGTCTGAAGTGCCTGTGAAAAACTTTCTTGAAAAACAAACTGTAACCTCTCCGTAAATTACTTTTGGCTTTTAGAGTACTGATAAATGGTTTCTTCGGATTTTTTTGTAATAAGCTTCTTTCATATTTATTTTTTGGGTAACAGATTTTTAGGTGCCTGTAAAAATTCCTTTTGGGATAAATATCCTTACAAAATGTACACATTACTAGATCTTTTAATGCTTTCGGGCCTAGCTTAAATTTTCTACAGTTATAAGTCAAATGAGATGAAGGTACATCTAACCCTTGTGTCGCTGATACTGATAATATATTTTGATCATGATTGCCCCTTAACCGCAATTCCTTCATGAGCCAAAGTTTTACTTTTACAGATTCCCTGTCTTTATTTTTGGCTAGATCAGTTATTTTTATGACTTCCTTTTCATTTTTATGTACATCTTTTAGATGACGTGAAAATTCTTTGACCAATTTTTTACAATATGGACAAAAGTATTTCCTTTTTTCCTGTGTTTTTGGTTTTTTTGGATGTTTGCATCTGTAGTCCTCATCTGTATTAATTATTTTTGGAGGAATAAATTGTTGCTTCAAAATTGTTTCTGTTTCTATTAATTCACTGTTTAGTTGGGTACTTGAGGGTGAGTTTTCCTTTTTGTCTTCAAACGAGGTAGACAATTTAAAGTTATCTTTTCCAATCAAAGATTGTTCAAAGTTTCCATATTCTTCATTGCTATTTTCTGTGTTGGTAGTATTCTTTATGGATTTTATGGACTCATGTGTTGGATTCACGACCTTTGGGTATAGACAATTAGCCTGTAAGCCATGCAATTGCTCAAAGTCTAAAGAAACGTTTGTTTCTGTGGTACATTTACCCAAAATAGAGTCTTCATAACTATAAGCACATCCAGGACTTCCATCTCCAGGAATTGAGATCTGCGGATTTTGACTCTTTTTATCATTATCAATCAAATCGGAGATGTTTTCAGTGTTGTCATCAATTGATTGTGTCAACGCAGACAATGCTTTGTAATCCATCTCAACTGTTTCTTTGTTTTTATTTTTAATGTATTTAACTTTACTTGATTTCTTAACTTCTGTAGGCCTAGAAGATTTTGATAAAACATCCAGCTTAGATAAAAATCTTAAAATGTCTTCAGTTCCTTGCATGGCTGCTTCTCTACTTGTTGTATTTGTGGCCTTGTTAAATTCCAGATCCCTAAGCGCTCGTTCAATAGCATCTCTTATGAACGCAGAAAGTCTGCAAGGCATACTTAAGACACCAATTGTCTCCGTGGTTTCATTGAATTCACACATATCTTTAATGGTTTCGAAAACAACCTCCTTCTTGGGAGATGTTAGACAGTCATATAGTTGAAATATTGAATGATCCTTTTTTTTCAGCTTCATAAAGAAATTACACCCTAATTTTAGTTTTTTGAAAATACTGTTTTCGTAATATTTATTTTTGTTATTTTTTATTTGTTTGTGTTTGATATTTGTTTGGTATTTATAAATAATTGACTTTATAAGACTGTCATCTAAGGCTTCTTTAATTACAGGGTCTTTCTTTAACCTAAGAGTGAAGTTGTCGTTTGTCACACAAATTCTGCTTTTTGAACCAAGTTCGACACCGTGGAAATTTCTAAATCTATGCCCACGAATGAGAGAGGATTTTTTTTTATTAGTTGTATCTTTTTTGTTAACACTTTTAATGGATTTACTACACTTACATGGGTTCATGGGGTCAACTGTGATCACAACATTTTCAATGGGTTTGTCATCTTTATTTTGAAGGAAGCCTTGACTTGTGTTTGGTGGTACAGTAGAAGGATTTTCGGAAATAATCACAGAAGAGACATTTTTAGCCCTTCTTGATAAGCGACCGTCATTGCATTTTAGCTGTAATGAGTTTAGGATTTCTTTTCTCTTATTTATATTGTCTTCACTGTTTTCCTTCATAAGGGCAATATACTGAATGGTTGGTTCTTCATCTCTATGTTCGGTCATTAAATGCTTGTAGAACACAAATCTTGAAATGTAGAGTCCACAAAATACACAGTGTCTTTTGCACATTTTCCCCCCTTGTAAAACATTGGTTTTAATTGATTTCTTCTCGTGGTTATTACTGATTGAGTTACTTTTGTATTTATTTCTTGAATAGCAGTTTCTATCGTGACTACCAAAATGTTTCTTTGAATAAAAACCTTTGCAATATGGACACATAGTCAGATCTTGTAATTTTTTAGGACCGGATGTAAACCGTTTACAGTTTCGTAACAAATGAGAAGCTGGTAAATCAGACCCCTCAGTAATTGTTTCTGACAGTATTTTACTATCATGCAAGTAGTTACCTCTTAACATAACTTCCCTCATCCGCAAATGTCTTTCTTTTATACTTTCCTTATCTCCATTTTTCCTTAACTCTATAATTTCTGAAATTTCCTTTTCATTCTTATGTAGGTTTAATGCATGGCGACTAAAATTAGACACAACCTTTTTGCAATACAAACAATAATGTCTTTTCATTACATATTGTTTTTTAGAACTATTTTCACCACAACTTGAAGTCAATTGATTTTTATTGGCCGTTTTCTTTGGGGTTAATTTGTCCTGTGGTGATTTTGTTGGAATCAATGTGTTATTTGGTTCACCCCTTCCAGTTGTATTTTGTCCAGTTGTGTTTTCAAAACTACAACTTGTCAAATTGTTAAAATTCAATACAGTTTCTGATGAATCTACAACCATAGGAGATAAGGTATCCTTTACTCCAAGTGTAGTTGTAGTTTTGTTACTTTTAAACAATGACAAATCACTCCAATTACTTTTGATGACTTCCAGAACTATATTAATGTTACTCAGTGTAACTGTTTTTTTCTCTTCACATTCTATTTTATTTATAGCATTATTGGTAACTTTTGATCCTGCTGAATGAAAAAACCAGGAGAGGGCTTCTACAGGTGACTCGTAACCCTCTAATTGCTCAAAATGGGTACATACTTCTTTGATAGTGTCTAGTAGAATATATAATTTTGCTGGAATAAAACAGTCTTCTAGAGACAGTATTTTGGGATCTTTGTTTTTTACTTTCTCAAACAAAATTATACCGTAAGCAATTTTTTTCAAAACTTCAAGTTTTGCAGTGTTACTCATTGAGTCCTGAACAATGTCAGTGATCATAGATCCAATGACAGAATCTTCTGAAATTCTTAGTCCAAATGAGTTTACTTTATTGTCCAACATAACTTCAATCGCTTTAAGAATATTGGTATAACACATAGCATCGAGATCACTGGACAAATTTACATTACCAATAACTTCTCGGGTTTTGGCGCCACAATCAAGATTAAAGCAGTTTGATTGTGCTGGTTCAGATATTTCAATATTGATTTCATTTGTCATTTCTTCGAATGTTTGTTCTTCTTGATATGTGCCCTGGAAAAAACAGTACTATTAAGAACAGGAGCAAAAATTTTAAGATAGGCGTAAATTAAACATACTCAAAACTTGGTAATACTATGAGGAATCCCCAGATAGAGATTTTAATACAAAAACTATTCTAGGCCTACTTTTTGTAAATTTTTTAATTGGCTTAGTTAAATTCATCTGACTTTGTAAAATATTCATGCTTAACAAGTTCTCTATAAAACGAGATGAGGCACAGTAACGTAACCTACATTTTATTTCAGTAAAAGATGTTGGTGGCCTCTTTTAACCTTGCATGCCCATTCACATAGATTACGGACCTGTGCGTGGAACGTATTCAGCAAAGCATGAGGTGAGCCTGTACAGTACAAAGGGTGAAGTGTACTGATATAAAGTAGTGGCAGGTAACAGGATTGGAAAACATGACATCGCTGCCTTGGGCCCTAAGTCCCTAAGGATTAAATCTTAGACTTAAATCTTGTAAAAAAGTAGTTACAAATAGCTCTAGAATTGCTAAAACATGTTTGAGTAAAAGACAATTTTAAGAATTTTTGTGCTAGGTGTTATTTAACGTAATAGCCTAGTATAAATAATACTATAACTGAGGTGTCACACTTATTACCCTGGTAATAAGTTAACCTGCTTAAAATAGCCTACCCTATTATTTTAATACAACATATGAACCGTTTAACAAATTAATGGAAGAACTATCCCACTAATCACGTCTTCCTATTAAAGTGAGTGAAGTAATAGTACCGGTACAAAATAGTATAAGCCGACCATGGTAATAGATTACTCAGAATACCATTATTTTTGTTACATCTGGACTGTAAAGAACAAGTGAAATGACGCTGATAATTTCTTCCCATTAACAGCAACCTCTCTTAAACATCGTTGATAGGGAAATAATAATATGTAAAAAATTCAACCATTTAATGAACCAGGAAATAAGAACCAAGCGTGATGAAAGAGAATGCTCCAATTGAACTTTCTATAGTTGAGAGGAAATTAAAACAGTCTGAAATTATAGTAAACTAATACATAGTTTTTTTATAATTGCTGATAACAACTTAAGGGTGCGCTCTACCCCTGACACGCAACCGAATGCAAGGGTTTCCATGATTACTGTTTTCACCTGCTACATTGAAGGTAGAATCAAAGTTAAGGTCTCATATTAAAGAAGATGAAATTTTCTATAGTTCTGCGTTTCATTATTTCATTTATTTTTAATACACACCTTATAAACTTGATTTGTAGGACAAGAAAAAAAAGTCTTTTCAACTAGCACTAACTTATTGAAAAACGTTATTTGAAAGTTTGGAAAACGAAGAACTATAGATTAGTACTTGCACTACTATAAGCCATTTGTAGCTATCATTACCTATTGGTTAATTCGAAAACAGTAATCTTGGAAACCTCTGCAAGCGCTTCTCGCGGCACTGTCCAATGGTGCAACATAGCAACTAAAGCCCGAGCTGAGATTTCCGAGCTGAGGTAGAGCGCACCCTTAAGAGTTTCAACTTAAACAGGCCACAAAAAAGAAACACACCACCAATACCAGCCCCTTTTCAGCAAACACTAATGTTAACTCCAAATAATGAAAAGAGGTTAAGGACACCATATCCTCCTAGAAAAACAAAACATCAAGTGGAACTGGTGAAATCTCAGCAAAACTAGTTAAGCACTGTGCTGACAGGCTTGCCTATCCCCTGCAATTAATCATCCGAACAAGTCTTTTCACAGTGGTGTTTTCCCATCAGCACTCAAGATTACAAAAGTGTGCCCTAAATTTAAGAAAGGAGACCAAACTCAGCTAAATAATTACATATAAAATACAACTACTATTAATTACAATTACTATTAATCCTACCCTCTTTCTTAAAAATAATTTTAAAAATGCCCAAAAAGACTAGTAGAACATCTCACTCGCCTCATCAGCATGGATTCATGAAAGGTAGGTGTACTAGCACATCTATCATAGACCTGGTTTGTGACAAGGAGTCTCAATCCCGGGCCTTCAATCCAATCCCGGGAGTTCGGGATTTGTCGCAGTCGATCCCGGGATTATATTATTTTATGATTTTAACTATTTAGCCATTTTAAATGAGGGAGAAGTCCCCTTGTTGAGTCCTTTAATGTTTTAAACTGGCCTTATCAGTGTTACACTACGCAATTTTGCTGAAACTTTCAACTTTCATCACCCGTCTTCATTTCATTTCATTTCAAACAATCTTTATTCTTTTAGTACATATTTACAGTATATTGAACAGTGCCGAAAAGTGATTCTTTATTATAACTTAAAACTGTTTTCTAACTTATTTCTACCATTTTTTATAATAAAAAGAAGGTTATTTATACTATTACAATAGAGATTCTCAACAAAACATATAACAATCATAAATAAATTAAGAAAGCAGTAAAATATTCTAAACATCCAAAAGCCCTTCAAGTCCCAGAAGGTTTTGAATTAAACTCTGGGTCAAGAAATTCTTGTATATTATATAATGCTTTAGTTGATATAAAATCTTTAAGTTTCCTTTTTAATATTCTTGGATTCGGCTCTTGTCTTAAGGTTAATGTTAATTTGGAAAAAATAATGCACCAGCATAAGTAGGTTTCTTTTTAAATAGTTCAAAATGATATATGTGTATTGCAATATTGTTCCTATTTCTAGTATCATACTCATGAGTACTTCCTAATGGTTTTAGAGTATGTTCCCTATCCTTAAAGTGGATGATAGTTTGATATATATAGGCCTACATCCCATAGACTGTCATTATTTTAAGTGAAATAAAATATTTTTTCTTATTTACAATGTACGAAATGTTGATTTGTCATTCTAGAATATAATAAATACAATTTTCAAAAATCTCGAGCAACCGCACTCGCATTTAGCCTACACCCTATACGTCACGCTAAAATGGAAACTAAATACCTCAAAATTTAAAGATAAACAACAAAAAGATAATATGGGAAGAATCTGCTTATGCATGTGTACGAAAAACGTAATTTAGGATTGTAAAATATTTAATCACCACACTAATAACCAAATACAAAGATAAAGTTATAAACCCTAAATATAAGCAATCTTAATAATGGTGTGTTTATAGTTAATTTTTAGGGCTTCAATGTTATTAAGAAAATGATACTTCAATTACCGTCACCGATTGCCATGTTATGTTTGCGACATGAATTGCGTTGTTTACGTTTAATGTCAAAAGTAAAACTCAAAATAACTTATAGGCCTAGTATAATTAACTATGTAATTACTAATTAATTGTTCTAACTGTTACTTAATGTAATTACTAATGTAATAACAAACAGACAGTAAATCCAATTCGTCAAAAAACATTAAACATATATTTACATATGTTCGCCTATTGAGTTTCAAGTGTTATTGGATGTATTTTTATTTATTTTCCATAAGCAAAATTCCTCAAATTCAAAAAAAATCTTTATAAACATAAATTTTGCAATCCCGTTAATCCCGAGATTAAAAGACACCAATCCCGGGATTTCTAGGTATCAAAAATCGTCCAGGATCCTGGGATTCGGAATCCCGGGATTGAGACCCATATTTGTGTCTCACAGTTAATAGCGATACACAATCAGTGTTATTTCACTAGTTCTTTTTACAGTCCAGATGATGTTATAACAATAATTGTATTCTCAGAAATCTATTACCAAGGTAATATTATTTTGTACTTCTACTATTCTCACTTCAATAGGAAGACATTATTAATGGGATAGTTAGTTATTCTATTTATTCGTTTAAAGTTCATCTGACATTACTAAAATAATAGGGTATGCTATTCTAAGTAATCTATTACCAGGGTAATAGGTGACGCCTCAGTAATAGAATTATTTATGCTATTACGTTAAATAACACCCAGCTCGAATGTACAAGTTCCCTTTAAGGAAGGAAGAAGTCATTAAAAGATGTTTAAAATCTTTAAAATTTTAAATTTAATATACAGAGTTGGTTTTTTTAAACTTGCATCTTTATTTATGTAAAAACCGCAATAGATAGAAATATGCAGTTTGCGAGAATCATCTATTGACGTAGGGGGCCCAATTGTTTTGAATTCAACGTTACATTCACATTCCCCCCCTGCCCCCAACTTATTTTTTTTTAAATAGCAAGGTACCCCTTGTGATATACCAAATGAAAGAGCATGAAAAAATAAAATGTTTAGTGAAAAAAAATTGAAAATCGGCTCATGAATTTGTGAGATAATCCCCCCTTTCCCACTACCGATAACTTTTTTTATAATATGAATAATGAATAATGAATAATGAATAATGAAGTTTATTTCCCACAAAAAACCACAATGTAACAATACATGAGATGTAGAGAAATAGAACTGGCTACTTGATCCAGTAGTGTAACCAGTTTGCTTATACTAACTTATCGGCTAACATGACGTTGTAATTTATGGTCTAGCATCTGTTATAAAACATTGAATTTCGCCTGAACTGTGCATCTGATGGACAAAACAAGAACTGTTTTAATAAACAATGAAAGTTATTACAACAGGATATTATTGATATAATTTATGTCCTGCTGAGAAGAAAGCCAAATTATCGTTGCTTTGCTAAAATGCTTTAAATTTAAACTATTCTTTATTTGAAGTGGTAGAGAATTATAGTATTTTGGACCTAGATATTGAAAAGAGTGACGAAAAATAGCTTTATTTACTTTGGGTAGTTTCAGAGTATTATTGGTAATGCTTCTTGTTATGTATGTGTGTGTAATATTTGGTATGACGTTAACTCTGTTTCCACTTCGAACAAAAAACAGTCTAAGAACTTTGAAAACAAAAAGGTGCTGTATGGGCAAAATTTTTAACTGTTGGTAGAGTGGAAATGAACTTGTTCTTTTAGGTTGTTTCAAAATTATCCGCATAAAAAAGTTTTGTGTTGTTCTTAATCTATTTATCAAGGTTTTATAAGTTCCTCCCCAGCATGGCAAGGCATATTGCAATCTTGAGTTGATTAGTGCAAAGTATAATGTTCTCAAAAGTGATTCGTTACAAAAATTTCTTAAAAAATAAAATTTTCTTATTTGTGTTCGTATCTTAGCATGTAGATTTAATATATGAGGTTCGAAGGTGACTTTTTCATCAAGTAGAACTCCTAAATATTTTATAGATTTTACTTTTTCTAACGGCTGGCAATTACATAGTTGTGGACTGCAATTTGAGGAGTGAAAAATTAAAGGAGATGGCAATTCAAAACCGGTTGAGTGGAAATTAACAAATTTGGTTTTGTTTACATTTACCTGCATTCTATTGATCAAACACCAATTTCTTAAAAGTAAAAGATCATCGTTTATTAAATTTTCCATGAACATCAAATCGTTTTGTGTGTAAAAAAGAGCAATGTCATCAGCAAAAGCAAAGATATTTCCGTTAAAAGGTAGATTTAATAAATCGTTGATGAACACTAAAAATAAAATACCTGAGGACGTTGACCCTTGGGGCACACCCGTTTGTACAATGAGAGGATTACTGTAGTCATTGTTTATTTTTACTTGTTGCCTCCTATTTGTGATGAAACTCTTAAACCACTCTCAATATCAAGGTACCCATTGTGACATATCAAATTAAAAATGAATATCACCAAACATTTTCTTTTTTCACATGCTTTTTCATTTGATATGTCAAAAGGGGTACCTTGCTATTTAAAAAAAAGTAATGGGTAGGGGAAAGGGGGATGATTATCTCACAAATTCATGAGCCACTTTTCAATTTTTTTTCACTAAACATTTTCTTTTTTCATGCTCTTTCATTTGATATATCACAAGGGGTACCTTGCTATTTAAAAAAAATAAGTTGTGGGCAGGGGGGAAAGTTGAATGTGAATGTAACGTTGAATTCAAAACAATTGGGCCTCCTACGTCAATAGATGATTCCCGCAAACTGCATATTTCTATCTATTGCGGTTTTTACATAAATGAAGATGCAAGTTTTAAAAAAACACCCTGTATAACACTAGATATGTCATTTTTTCTGAATCTCAAAACAAAAAAACCCTACGTTCTTAACTTACACCCTGACTTCTTTAATTATTGAAGATAAAATGTGTGATTAAACTTACCGGTGATTCATCTTCAGATGCATGTGAGTAGTCATCAAAGACATCATTATCAAAACAATCATCATCATCAGAAGGATTATCATTGCCGCAGATCACAGACACCTATAATGAAAATTCCAAATTATTAATATCAAATGTCCAAAACAGTTTGATACAGAAAATTTTAAATGTTTTAAAATGCAAAAAACACCTAAGTCCAAAATTTTTGGAAATGAATATCATCATTTTCCAGGACACTTCTATTTTTCTTGACAGCTTTATTGGCTACTTGTCTAATAGTATTTGTTAGTGAATTTTCCATATAGGCAATAAACTATTACTGTAGGTCTCATGGTAAGACCTGGACCTGGGGCCACTTTACTTTTTGTTTTAATACTTTGATGGAATAATAATTAGGATACTATTATTCACTTAAAAATGGTGGCTCCTTATGAGGAAAATTTTGTACTAGTTTGAATACCCTGTACAGTATTTCTCATAAAAATACAGATACCTCTACTGTAATTATTTTGCATTCCTTATGAGCAAAGCCTTACTTTGTTAGACAATATCACAAAAAGAAAAATTTTAACAAAAATTATTTTCAGAAAATAATTATAATTATTAATTATTATAATAGTTATTATTATTATTATTTCACGCCCTTGAGTGAAAAGGGTTGGTGACCCCTGATTTAGATAATAGGCTTCCACGGTCACAGTAGATTGTCAAATTCAGGGCAATGACTGCGACTTTGAATAAGCTAAATAGACTAGAGGCTGGCGTTTCAGTAGACGTTGTCCATCACTCAAGGGCCATATTGACAATTTTTGGAGGAAAGGACCAGACCATCAACATTTCAAGCCCCCCCTCAAAATAACCCACAAAGAGGTAGTTTCCTAATTAAGAGACACTGATAAAGTTTTTACATTTCTTGCTGATTTTTTGTTTTTATCATTGATGCCTTTCTCCTTACAAAGGAATCAGGACTCGACTATGCAGTCCCTACGAGTGTGACCCAGCTCCCCACATCGAAGGCAGTTCTTGCCTCGGTCGGGCCCTTTGCAGTTTCGGGAGGAATGGCCGAAATCAAGGCATTAAAAACACCTCTGTTACTTCCACCCTCCGTCTTAGCCTGCAGTTAACCCATCCAACCCTCAAATGCTGGAGTGCTAACAACTTACTGGCGTTTGCGTCTGCCATTTCGGCGACCGCCATCCGACTTCTGCCCGCCTCAATTTTCTCTTCTCCTTTCACAAAAGGCTTTTCCCACACAGTCCCAGATGGTGTTTCTGTGACTGACCCCTTTCGGGAGCTCCCCTCAATGGGTGTCGCAGGTTATTGTGGCTATCGAGGCTTCGCTGGAGCGGTAATTACGTCAGAGAAGGACTTGGAAGTCTGGGTCGAACTGACCTTAACTTTAGGCTTTGCTGTACGAACAACCTGTTCTCTTTTTCAAGGACTTTCTGATTCAAGGCCTCCTGCATTTCTTGGAAGGTGGTGCATTGTCGTCAGGCAGAGACACCACCTTTTCGGCGATCCTTTCCATGGCCGCCTTGCTTACCAGCCGGCAGGCGAAGACAAAACCAAGGTCTTCCTTGAGCTTATCTATACCATATTTAACTACTTGGTTAACTCCTCTCTGTGTCTTGAAGGTTTCAAGCATTTTTGGTCTGCTCCATGTTTCGGAGCCGGTTTTCAATGCTACTTTCTGCGTCTAGATTTTCCTAACGCAGAAGCACCATTCCCGAAACTTATGATCATAAAGATGCTGTAAGGGATTCGTCCGGCATCCCTTGATCATACTTAGAGGATGGTGCCATGATCAGTAGGAGAGTTTCCGGCAACTCGGGTTCAACATCTACTCTGCAATCATTTCCTTCTCCACTCGTCAAGGGTGATCCTAAAGGCAGGAAATCCCATGAGCACCTAAAAGATGCAGGTGGTGGAGACGTCCTCACACCTTCCGCTATTGGCGGTCTCTGGAGCATGGAGCTTCGCCAAAAAGAGTCCCGCTCCACTTCTGACCTCTTTTCTTGCTCATCCGAGCTGCTTATCAAAGATGTGTTCAGGTGTTCTTTTTTATAAGCCATCATGTGTTTACCAGCGCATCGTGCGGCAAGGGGCAGCCTGAAAAAGTCAGGAAAGGGTATACCCTCTGGGACAGTACCCCTACCCCAGTTCCCCGGGGCCCAACCTCCGTTTTCCCAGCACCAGATACCTGACGTGCCGGGGTCACCAGTCACAATGTAGAGCCCAACCTCTACATCCATGCCGCACTCCCTGACCAAGGACTGAAGTGCCTGGCTTCTCACGACTCACTGAGAATACCCATTGGCAGTGCAGAGCACACATTAACCCCTGCAACACAAAAGGGGCACTCCCAAGGACTCCCAGTGAGGGTGTCGGCACCCTTTTAGTCGCCTCTTATGACAAGCCCGGGAAGGCTGCAGTTCTATTCTAACCATGAACCGCAGGGGGAAGATGACCAGTAAAGATTAGTTTTTGTTAACGATAAAATGTGTGCAAATGACCAAATAAGCATTTTATTAAAAAGGGGTTTTGATACAAAAATAGCATGCCTGAAAGTTGATTTTTAAAGTACTGTATGACAAATTTACGATTAGGAAATTAAATGTTTTTATTATACCTCAAATAAAATTACTATGAGGCGGGTCTATGAAGAGGGTCTTGTTATGACAAGTGCCTCAATATTGACGGAATTTATGTAGAAGAGTAGAACAAGGTACAGGCTTTCATGTATAAATAAAATTATTGCTATATCTCTTAGCACATCTTTTTTAATTTCAGAATGATACTTACTTAAAAAACACACCTCGTATATGATTTTAAAAGTTTTAAAACTAAATATAAGTAAAAAAAGATTTTTTGGCTAACACAACCTATATTTTTTTTTACCATAAGCGCATGTTCAAAGGCAAAGAACATCTGTTAAAGACAAAAATTCTAAACTGTTACCTTTTCCAACTCAAGGAGCGGATCACGTTGAGCTGTTTCACTTTTCAAAGGATTTAGCAGAATACTATCAATAATTTCTTCTTCCTCCTGAAAAAATCATATTTATTGAACCATACCTAATAATACAAGTAACAATGTAACAATGTTTTCATAAAATTGAAATGAAAAATATTGATATACTTTTGGACGATCCGCGCTAAGCGATCATAATAACAAGTGCAAGTGTGAGTTCGGAACAACATCCGACCTTACATTAGTATCTAGTAAAGTGAAAGTCCGTGAGCTATAGAAGACCAGCGCAGCGAGGTGGTGGCCGGTCAGCAGTTAGTGTCGTTCAACTCGCGCACTAATCCATACATTCCCTTAGGATTGGTAGCAATGTGCAAAACCGGTTTAGGGGGCTCGTTCAGCGTGCCACTGGTGATAAATGGAACTATGTGGACTGGCTAAACACAGAAGTTGTACAGCTGAGTAGCCACGGAGGTTGAAAGCCCATTTAATTTTGTATTCAAGGTGCACAGAGTGAAAAATGTAGGGTTAAACATCACATCAAACTTTTATGTGTAATCTAGAAGAATTTTATGTTAACAGCATACTCAGCATACTGCATTAAATGTTACTGGCCTACAGTGGGTTCAGTGAAATATAATCGTTCTTAAATCAGTTAAATAGAATTTAGCTGATTCTCCCAAGCCCCTTCCCTCATCCCTAAGACACAAGGTGCATTAGAAACAAGACCCCCCACAGTGATATTTCAATCTATTTCCGATATGTTTCATCAGGTTGTAGCACCAATCGGGTCCAAAGCAGAACAGAACATATGATTCTGACGTTTGTTATTGAATTTGCAAGTTCTATTCAACAGTGAGTGCATGTTTAAAGGCTATATATAAAAATTCTTAACTTTGACCTTTTCAAAATGAAGGAGGAGATCACTTGGTGCTGTATCACTTTTCAAAGGACTTAGGGAAATAACACTATCAATCATTTCTTCTTCCTTCCTCTGAAAAAATCATGTTTATTGAACAATATCCAATCATAAGTGTAACAAAGTGAATGTAACAATATTCTTGTAAAATTGAAACTCCATTGGTTGCCATACAGATGCTAAGTTTTTTTTAAAATCTCAGCTAAGTGCAGAGAACCAACTCCCTTAATAGAACATGAAAATAACATTAATAGATCATTAGTAAAAATGTATCATCAACAGATAAAATAATTATCTACAGAGTGTATAAGGTGAACAGTTTTGGAATACCTACCAAACTCAGTATTAGAACAGATAAGTAAGTTACGTACAAAGGAAACATGCTTATGGAAATTGGACAACCATGCGCTTCAGCAAATAAGTAGAACAATATATGCTTCTGATTAGGAGTGTGCGAAGCGGAAAAAAATTTTGATTCAAAGCAACGATTTGGTTCAAAAGATTTTGAATTGAATCGTTTTTTGATCACCACTGAATTGAATCGCGATTTGATGCATCGAATCAAATCAAATGGGAATTTTGATGCATTTTACACCCCTACTTCTGATGGTTGTTATTGAATTTGAAAAAAGTGACTTAGGCCTATAGTACGGTGCAATTAAACCAAAACCGGGACATCCAAAAAAAAGTTTCAAACCAGTGCCAAATTGTTGAGTACACTTCCCTCAATATGTAAAAAAAGTTACACTGATTTGAGTGTCGGGTTTGGGGGGAAGGGGGTGAAAATGGGGTGAGAATAGGACTTTTTTTACTTTTTCGCAAATACCTCAAAAACGGTGCGTTTTTCTTAAAACATAATCAATTACCAAAATAATCCACATTAAATTTCGAACAAAATGATACCATGCAATACCTATCTACTATGAACGGTTGTTGTATGTACTATGTACACCCCCTCCTCCCCAAACCCGACACTCAAATCAGTGTAACTTTTGTTTACATATTGAGGGAAGTGTATTCAACAATTTGGCACTGGTTTGAAACTTTTTTTTTGGATGTCCCAATTTGCTCTTTTTTTAAGCTAATTGCACTGTACTACTAATAAACAATGAGCATGTTCAAACACTACACCAAAAAATTTTTAACTTTTACCTTCAAATCAAGGAGCAGATCACTCTGTGCTGTTTGATATTTCAAAGGGCTTAGCGGAATAACACTATCAATTATTTCTATTTCCGGCTCCTGAAAAAATAACATTTATTGAACAATTTCTTATCATACATAATGTTCTTTTGAAATTGAAATGAAAAATATTGATTACCATAAAGCCGCTACATTGCTTAAAAATCTCAGTTGTAATGATAAAACTAATATGATTTATGAAGTTGATACAATTACGACTTAAACATAACAAAAGACGTCCTTCTAGCTGATATGTTTTTCATTCTGAAGTAAATGGTAAAAGATAACAGGTAGGACAAGTCCTCCCTTGGTTTCCTATGAACAAGACCTTATAAATAATATGCCTTCTTGAAAGAAAAATCAACCACCTCAGTACTAAGTCCGATTGAGAAGAAAGAGGACCCAGACTTGCTGACGTGGTCAGCAAAGTAAACCTTAATGAACTGTTAAGGACATACAGAGAAATAGGTTTACTCAAGGAAAAACTCTTTCTTCCTTTGTTGGAAATGTTTTCAGTGGCAGTGAAATATTCTTATGTTTTGTGCATATAGTGTAAAGTTTTGAGTCTCTTCTGCCAGTTTGGACTCTTTACGATTCAGGTAAGCCTGCTATTGACACAAAAAATCTTAAAAGGCCAAGGTCTATTAGTTATCCCTTTGTATTGACACTATAACTTACCTGTTTGATTTCATATTTGCTTAGAATTTCAAGGTTACCAATTTTGGTACTAAAAGACGAATTTAAAGGGTCGAATTCTTCTAGGTTGTCATCAGCAGGATCGCTATTTTCCTAAAAAAATTACATTTAATTAAAAAAAAAAAAACTAAACTAAACCACCCACAGATTACACATAGACAAATATCCCATATTTTGATTAGTTAAAATCACTAATTCATACAGTAATAGATTTTAAAATATCACAGGTATTAATTGCATTAGGAGACTTTTTCCACATAAAACAAGAGCACTTTTAATTTAATGAAAACACAAATTATTGAGAGTTATCTTGGATTTGAATGTCATAACATAACTTTGATAAACATTAGTTGTCTTAGCCTACCTGAGGAACTAGGTCACAGTTTATGAAGTCTATGTCAGTATTTATTTGTTGATTAGTAATTTTGGAAGGCCTTCCTCTTTTTCTTGGTTCTACGGTTTTTCTGGGTTCTATGCTTTTTCTTGGTCCTGTGGATTTTCTAGGTTCTATGTTTTTTCTCGGTCCTACGGTTTTTCTGGATTCTACGTTTTTCCTGGGTTCTATGTTATTTCTTGGGTCTATAATTTTTCTTCGCTCTATGTTCTGAAACAAATATTAAAAAAATATAAATACAATAGAAAAACCTAATGAAATTGATTTAGAAAGTAAAAAAATCAATGTACAACTAAACAGGGCTATGAGAGAAATTCAAATCAAGTCATAATATCTTAACTGTTGACTGAAAGTAAAATCATATACATGAATAGTGTCATTTAGGAAATAAATAGTTTTTAGTGTTGGTTAAAGTAGGCTACATTCTAACATTAGTAGATCCATATGTAGGCCTACAGTATATTTTTTGTATTTAACATTACTTGATTAAATTCCTAGAAATTCTCCACTATGACTGCTCCAAATCAATTTAGGCCTATAGTTATTGTATTCTCATTTTTTGACACTGTTACAGTGTGCCTTAACACGTTAAATGTGGGTGACGAGTAATCTCGTCATCGCTGGTGCTGCCAAGCAGCGTGCGACGATGAGCTGAGCCGTCGACTGAGGATGTTGTTTTTAGTTGCACTGTATGAAGTAGTCCTTTGTGTTTCCTCGGGCGGAGTCGTTCCCGTCGCATAAGGTTTTTATTATTTGTGTGTTGTAACGAGTTATTTTTCCTAGGGGGGTAAATTTTCGCTATTTGGCCGCGCACCGATTGTTGAGGTAAGCAAGCGGCGGTGGCGAAGCTAGCTAGCGCCCTTTGACCCGGCTTATCAGTACCAATAAGCCTGGGATATTCTAGATTTTCAGGTTAGCCTAGGACGGACATTCGAGTCATGGCCGACGGTGAGTGAACAGCTGGTTTGTGAATTGTCAAGTGAGAGGTCGAGTGATTTGGTGACATCGGTGTCGTGGTGATATTGGTGCTCAAGGAGTGTTGGAGGTTTGAGTTGGGTAGAGACCTGCTAGTGGTGAGTGGACGACGTTCTTTTAATTTTGGTTTGAAAGGTTTGTAATATTAATCTGAATCTCTGATTTTATTGCAATATTTAGAGTTATAGCCTAGAGAGTATTATCAGTTTCGGAGACAAGGCCCTTTGTTGCAGTTGTGCTGATGGGCAGCGTTTTTAAGGCTTTATTGGACACTGGGTCCGTAGTTAACTTGGTTGGGCGAGGAGTCGCCGAACAACTTCAACGCCAGGGGATAGAGCCTTGTAAGAAAACCGCTCCTCTGAGGATGGCAGATGGGACACTGTTGAAGGCTGAGTATTCGTTTCGGCAAGCAGGAGAAGCTGCGGGGAGACGGTGGATTGGAGACGCCTTGTACGTTCATACTCACTACGGAGATGATTCTGGGTATGGAAGTCATTCGACACCTCGGATTGTTGACAGTTGGGACAGAGGGGATAAGAAAGGGTGTGGGTGATGACTGTTCTGGCCATGTTGGCTGCATAGACACTGTCAAAATTGGTGACGAAGACCCCGAAGGCATTTGCAATGTAAATCCCCGCCTGGTGCTTGATACCAAATCATTCAGCACCATGTTGGCTGGTAGTGGCTAGTAGAAGAGATTTCTTTGTTTTAAGTTTGAGACCTGTGGTGCAGGATTCACCATTGGGTTAGGGGATGGAGTATTTTGTTTTGGCCGGAGTTCAAAGATTTTTTTCTTTTTGGCCGTTTTCTTTTTTTTCATCCCGATGTAAGTGGGCGGTGTAACGAGTTATTTTTCCTAGGGGGGTAAATTTTTGCTATTTGGCCGCGCACCGATTGTTGAGGTAAGCAAGCAGCGGCGAAGCTAGCTAGCGCCCTTTGACCCGGCTTATCAGTAGCGATACGCCTGGGATATCCTAGATTTTCAGGATAGCCTAGGACGGACACTCGTTTAAAAACGTGGTATTTTAAAAAGTTTTTTTTTATTTATAAACTGTTTTATATTGATATTTCTTTAGTTTCTTTACTTGTCACTCGACCTAATGATGTGAGGTAGTTTTGGTTATCCATCAAATAAATTCTTGCACAAAATCTTGAAGAACCTAATATTAGTCTTTATTGAAGTTATGCCTAACCAAAATATAATACTGATTATCACAAGGAAAAAAACACATAACCTTTTCAAACACCCTAAAACACATTAGGCCTACCTGATAACAATATATTTTACCTTTTACCTTTTACCTTCGATGTCTTCACCACAATTCGTAGATCGGGGAATCGTCATAATTCTTCCGTCTGGACGGGATTTTTCTATTTGTTCACGAAGTGAGCTGGCGTATGTGTACGTATGTGTGTTCCTCTATGTACTCGTTTATGTTGTAATATGGTCTATTGGTGAGGTATTTTTTTAAGTGTTGGACAAATGTTTTATTGTTGTGTAGAACTTTAAATTGTTGTGGTAGCAAATTGTAAAATTTTGAGCCAGTGTATTGTGGTGTATTGCTGAATTTAGAGAGTCTATGTTGGGGTAGATCTATGTTTGCTTTGTGTCTTGTATTGTGTGGATGGAGTTCTTTTCTGCGGACAGGTGTTAAGTTTATGGAGTAAATGATGGTTTCAAGGATTGTGGACAAGAATTAACAGCATTTCTAACTTTTTTCTACTAAGAACATTAATTTCACAAAAATACATACAAATACAAATGTATCATGTTTTTGTCATTAATTATTTAATAGTTTAAGCATTTTTTTATAATCAGTGACAGAAGGTGGAGCTACAGTTTGTGATGGAACCTGTCTACATAGGACTGACCCAACTTAAACCATTGGCCAGTCCCCAGGTAGGAGGTCAGGGGACAGGTTTCATTGTACAGAGTATAGTAGGCCAACATACCAACATACCTGTACTTCAACTGGTGGAGATGGCACCTTTTCTTCTTCCATGCTTTGGGATTTTCCCCTCTTTTTGGGCCTTCCTCTCTTTTTTCTATTTATTTTCTGTAAAATTGAAGAAACTGATAACTATTAGACAATAACCACCCTAAAGCAAGGATTAAGTACGGTAACTTAAATAATAATGTTTTAATTAAGTGTACATTATTTTGGTTTAAACTCGATTGCAATGTTATTTAATATTCTGGAAATAAATATGACACAACATTCCTATTCTAAAAAAAAATACCCCCGCCGCAGCAAACCTAACCTGCAGACTAAGCGAATTTCCATTTGCCTGATTGGATTTACACTAAAATGTCTACTTAAAAATATAGGTATTATGTATTTCCTATTTAAATAGAATTAGTTTAACAAGTACTTAGGTTTGCTGCATCAGGGAGGGTACCGGTAACACTGTTTTTTTTATGTTAACCCTCCGAGTGTCCCTAGTTTTGGCCTTAATGTCTTCCTATTTTTTGCGCATTTGCAAGGTTTTATTAAAACGGATCTGAGAAGCTTAAAAACAATGTTAATTATACTGTTCTATATACCATTTTGTTTGGAAAACCATGGGCTTCAATATTATACATAAAACATAAGGAACATTTGTTTCAAACAATTTTTTGGGTAAAAAAAAAGTATTTTGGAAAATTTAAAAAAAAAATAAGTTCGCGCTCAATGAAATTGTATAAATTATAGGCCTATAAATATTTGAAAATAGCCACTTTGTTCTAAATTTTATGAGGATTACAAATATATAATAATATTTTAAGGAAGTAGATTTGCAAATAAATAAGTTATGGGCAAAAAAAAAGATTTCAGTACATAACGTTTAGCTAAGAATGCTTAGCCTAACCATAGCTAGGAATCTGGCTGATAATTTACATCAATATCACTACCTACTTCTTCAGGATCATCAACCAGCCCCTCAAAATCACTTAAATCTTCTTATAATGCACCACGTATATCACTACTTTTGATTTTTAACACTAAAACAATGATAAACGTAATAAAACACATCAGTCATCGGTGCGAGGTTAACCAAGCTGTTTACAAATACGCTCGTCAGCTGTCTGCTACAATTATGATCGGCTCGAGAAAAAAAAGCGCTTAGAGACAGACCTCGGGAGAAAGCTTAGAATCTGCCAAATAAAACGATACCAAACTCGATTCAGTTCAATCCGATTTTGTCAGTCATAGAGCCTTCGCCGACAAACTAAACAGTGTTATGTGTCGAAATTTCGACACATAACACTCGGAGGGTTAATAGTTAGTAAGAAATTAAAATATTTTCCAAATTTGATCCAAATATGTTGATAAACAAGCAAACTACAACAGTTTACTTGTTCTCCATAGCAATAACATGGGAATTTTAAATTTACATTTTTTTTTTTTTTTCTCCGTAACCATTAGGCGCATAATAACGCTTCAATATACTAAATTATTTGTTTCTCAAGCTCTACAAAATGGTTTGGAAAGAAAATGCTTAATTTTAAATTTTTGTGTCAAAAATGGGAAAAACCAATTTTTACCCATAAAACCCCTTATAAACCCCTGTTCCCATAGCCCGATCACGATGGTTCGCGAACTCGTTCAAATAAACGTAAGTTTACACGTTTGTACTAAATTTCATCACAATCGGATGATTTTTGCTCGAGTTATCGCGCTAACGGACACATATACAGTAGAGTCCCGGCGTAATGTGGACTGGAAGGGTGCCGAGTTTGTGAAATGCCAGGTTATCAGGAACTGGGGTTAAAAATAAGAAAAATAACATTTTTAAGCTTTTTAACGCCTTTTTTATTTATATTTATATTAAAAGTCAGTATTAAGTCATCAGATATAGTACAACAAACCCTTGGTATGAGTTGCGAATGATTTGACTTGAGCTGGCTTGAGTCCATCCCATGTTTAACTCAGACTCAAAAAATCACAAATTTTCTGAGCCAGATGATGGCCGAGTTATCCAGAATGCCGGGTTATCGAGTGCCGAGTTTGCGGGATTCTACTGTATTAATATATATATATATATATATATATGAATTTGAACGGATGGTGTTTTTGGCCTCTAGGGACGTCAAAACGAAAAAGTAAATCCGTCCCGAGTCCAGGTCTTACATGAGTACTACTTTAATAGCTTTTTCCCTATAAGGAAATTCGCTAAAAATGGTTTTTGGTGTTTTAAGATTTATTTACTGCCTTGTGACTCAACAGTTTACGTGTAAAAAGACATGTAAAGCCACATCCCCACTGTCCCGAATGGCACAGATCAGTATTGCCAAGTATGGACGCATATCCAGCTTGTGCTGATCAGCATTATTGCATGCCAATTTCAAACCAACAGGTTGTCTGTCCATATCAATGGAAGCCAAGTAGCATGTTGGAGTGGGGACGAGCCAAGCCTAAGTATTAATTAAATTAAAAAGGTTTAAATACCTGATATCAAGCAATCCATTTAATTGCAGTTGCAATAGGAGTCAAAACTTGTTGCAACTGCAATTAAATGGATTGCTTGATAGCAGGTATTTAAACCTTTTTAATATTATTTGGCAATCCAGAGGCTACTATCAACAACTAAGTATTAAATGTAGAGTTCCATTACCAACTAATACAGCTTGCTAACAATAACTCATCATCTGATGACATCTCAGCACTGTGACACTGCCTTAGTTTTAGGTTGAGCCGCATGGCATGATGCAGTTTGCAAGCCTGCGACTATGGTGTGCGGGCTTTGCCAAACAGCCACAATCGGCATTGTGGGGATTGTGGGGGAAGTGTTATTAGATGTATTTTTATCACCTTTTTTAAGGTAAATTTAATAACACGTACAATGCTGATCAGGTTATTAAGTACGGTATTATAACAATAATACAGTAGAACCTTGATAACAAGACTCTCATGGGGATTGTAAAATAAGACTAGTTATCAAAGTTGACTTCTTATCGAGGTTTGTGATTAGGGGTAAAATAATTTTAAGAGGATTTGAAAATGACACTTGTTATCAAGGGCGACTTGTTATCGAGGGTCTTCTTATCAAGGTTCCACTGTATTAAAATAGATTTTGTAACAAAGGATATTAAGGAATCAACATATGGTTAGTCTATTGCTCTTAATGAGTTAAAGAGCTTATTGCAAAAATATAGATGCTCGTCTTACAACTTCTTACCTTTGGATCATTTTTAACAATTTTTGAGGATGTTATTGAAGGTTGTTTTGAAGTCTTACACTGTTGTCTGGTCCTCATTTTCCTTCTTTTTCGTTGGATCAAAGCTGGAAATAAAAAAAAAATTAACCTACAAAAACCCATCCTTATTAACTGATTTAATCTATTTAAAGAACTCTAAATTTGACTGTCAACATGTGAATCTAAGGAAACTCCGTAAAGAAATCACAAAAACCTAGGCTAACTGATAACCTTAAACCATGCCTTATTGCATTGGCTAGTCATGTGGCGTACGGGAGAGTGCTCTGGGGACACTCCCCTGAACGCCATGTGATACTCAACGTTGCCTTAACTGTGATGGTTATTGCATCAAAAGGCAGTGTTAGAGAGCATTGTTGGTTTATTTTTTTGGAAGTGGGAATCCTTACAGTGGTAACTTAAGCCAATACCGTAAGTTATGTGCTTAACAGTCTGGTTCTGCTGAAGGAGAACATAGGCAAATTTAAGGTTGCAATGGAACGAGGAGAGGATGTGCCTCGTTGCAGTTTCAGTCACACCTTTTAAAAATACACTTGATCAAAATCAAATCAAAATCATAAAAATCTTCAACACCCTGCTTAACAGTGTAAGTAAACTTAAGGATAGTACAGCGTTCAAGACCGTGATGAAGAACTTGCTCACAAATAGGGCCCTGTACAATCTGGGAGAGTTATCCTCAGAACCACAAATGCCAGCCTAAGATTAATTACGGTCTCGCATAGGCCTACTACAGCCTAAAGTATTTTAATTTTGTGCAGTGATATTGAGTTATTGTAGATATTTGTTGTTTATGGTCACGTTCAATCCAAGGAACATAGGTCAAAGACTAAGACAACAAGTATTCAAGCAGCAAATATTTAAGTACGGTAAGATTACAATGGAAACAAGCCAATTTCTGTCTAAGACCAAAAGTTGTCAGGGTAGGCCTAGAACAGGACACTCAAAGTGTAAGAAACCCATCTCTAGCTTAAGGTAAAAGCTCTTATTACGTAGTTACCCTAATACAAATAATGGACATCAATGAATCCACAAAAAGTCATATAATACAGGCTATCTTTCTTTTCTTTTAAGCCCAGAACTAGTGTTATACATGGAACAAGCTAAATTAGCAAACTTAAGCAGCTAAGAAGTTATTTAGGTTCAGTTTTTGTCTCTGGTCTGATACCTCAAGTGACATTTGTGAGAATTTTGAACATTTCCTTACATTAGCCTAGGATATAACCATGTATATGTTGACTTACTCGGAAAAAAACGTTTTATAAATACAATACCGCAATAGTTATTGTCGTGAGAGGAGGGTGGGTTGTCATTCATTGTTGTAACTTATATATTTTATTAGCCATGGAGATGGAGCATTGGACGGTAGGCTACAGCACGGTATGTTTGCCAATGACGAGTGTGTGCAAAATGGCGAGCCTATCATTTCTGTGCAGCGACTTTTAATGTTCCCTTTCACCTTAAACGCCATGATATAGATTAAAAATACAATTCTCAGATGTATTTACAATTCAAGGAAAACAAGATCCAGCTGAAAAAATAACTCTTAAAAACTTTGGACACTGTAAAGCAAGTTTGCCACCTTTGGTTAGAGAAAAATCAGGACGTGTCCCAATCAGACTTCTACATACATTAACATAAGCATAAGTTAAACACGGGCATAAGGGACTGAAGTCGGGACTGTCCCGGCAGTATCGGGCAAGGTGGCAACCCTGCTGTAGAGGTTGGAGCGGTTAGAGGTTAGGCCCTAACTTAGAGTCTATTTTTTACTTGCACAAAAATTCTCGTTCACTTGAGTATCGTAACACCTCAAATAGTCACTAATTTTAGGATTCCTTTCAAACTACCGATATTTCTCATGCAATATAATATTGCCACAGCTAGCATGCCTTCTAGTAGTGGCCCAGCCAGCCACTTATCTGATTCAACATTAATTTAGCCTAGGCCTATCTGTTCTCACTGATCTTACTAGGCCTGAACAGATTGTACGAGATTTAGACGCACATCATTCCCTAGTAACAGGTAGTGTGACTACCTTACTTGGTTTCGCTTAAATATTACTTACAATTGCTTAAAACGTGAATTCACGTCAGATTTACAGGGAATAGGGCTAGTTACCAATGGCAGTTTAGCCGACAAAGGTATAACTTAGATCTAGCCTTTATTTATGACCAAAGTTAAATTATTACTCACTCACCTTCTGCATCACTTTCGGGTCATGCTTAGCATTTATTTTTGGGTACTATGGAGTCTAAAAATGTTGGATTGTAACAAATTACTTCAAGCATGGACAATGGACATAAATGAAAACATTCCGGCCATCATTTAGTAACAAACAAGGAAACAAACGAAACAAGTGTAACAACAAACTGAACAAACAACATTCACAACAAAAAATATGAACTTCTTCAATCCGAATCCACTCACTGAGTCACTGACTGGACTGACTGGACTGAGCTATCTTCAATCTGGCTTTTGGTTTTAATACAAAGGCGGGGTTTTATATTTGACCATGAAACTTTAATATTCTCTAGGACTTTTTTTCTGTTCCTCATTAATTGATTTATGAACAATACTGTATAATATACATACTATGCAGTATTGGATCATTAATATATTGTGGATCAAGCTGTTTAAGTATTTAACTTCCAAAGAGATCAATTCAAGTAGAAATCATTCAAACCATACAACAGTTCACAGTTGAGTACAAAAATTCATTTATTGATTTGAGTAAGTCATAAAGTCATTTATTTAGCCAGAAGTATATGTAAATGAATTGGCTATGTCAGTGCTTACTGACTGATATTATACAATTCATTACAGTTTACATATTGATATCCATCGAGAACTTAAAGGATTATTTTATTTTGGTTCGGAAATAAATTAAACCAATAAGCCCACAAATGTACAGCTTCTAGTTCCATTGTTGGATCGTAGAGCTTATAAAATGGATCCATTGTTTACATGATATATTGATATGTTGATAATCAATTAAATGGTTATTTGTTCAAATACTTATTATACATTTAAACAATTTTGTAGTTTTGTCATGGATTATCCGTAGGGTCCCATTGTCATAGTCATACGTTTTTAAACTAACATATAAGGTTAAACACACTTACTACTCATAGATTATTCATCCTTATTGATAAGATACCACCACCCCCGCCAAACCTAACAACAACCCCAGTGCCCCCGTCAAACCTAACGCCACCCCCGCTAAACCAAACGATACCCCTAACGACCCCACCAGCATCGGCTCCAACTACATCACCTCTACAAAACTCAACAGCACCCCAAGCTCCTCCACTAAGCCCAACACATCGCCCACACAAGCGTGACAAGTCTGACTGATCAGTGATCACTTTATTACAAACGGAAAAAACTGTGCGCTGAAAAAGAAGAACCAGTTTTTCTTGATGATGTATGCAATATTAAAAAGATATAATATATCTTTAGGCAAGTGCGCCTAATGCGAATAGGACAAATCGTTATGTTTTATCGTAGCATGTAAACCAGGCTTTATTTTCCCCGTTTAAGCCGGGTTTACCTATGCGCGGAAGTGGAGAGTGGAGAGAGGAACGCGGAGAGCGGAAAAGAGATGTGTTTTATGTTTTAGTGTTTTAACATACAGTCAATTTCTTAGAATTCAAAGTCAATTTTTTGTTTTATTTCTTCCATAAAGCAGACACTTTTAGAGTCTATACAGAGTGTCCCCTAAGTAAACAGCCAAACTCCGGGAAATGGTTCTATGGGTAAAAATAAAAAGAAAATCAAGATTAACAATTTTTCCAAAGTCGCTTCGTTAACCAGATATCCGCCATTTTGTATTTTTAACATACACATTTTTATTTTTGAATTTTTTTAACCAATCTTGGAATGTAGGTTAAGGTAGAAGTAGGACGATGAATTCTGATTAAATAATATGTTAATGACTGCATTAAAAATTATGTTTGAATGGATTTTAATGTAATTTTTTAGAATCCTTGTGAAATTCCTTATAAGAATATGAATGAACTATGATCAAAATTCATATGAACGTAGGTTTTGTAATAAATATTTAAACTAGGGTTATTTTGTAGTTTTGTTTAGGAGGAAAATATCATTTACAATGCTAATTATATTGTTTCCCCACCTGTAAGTGTGTAGAAGCCTAGATTTGGGCATTTTATCACCTTTACTTGGTAGTTTAACACATTACAGTTTTTAACATTGACTTCGTTCTATCCTGTATAGGCCTATTAGATATAATTTATATAAATTCAGACTAACACGAATTGAAATTAAAATTAAAAAATTTTTAAGCATTCAATCACTGTATATTTTACAAATACCAAGTCATTCGTAATCATTTAATTAAAAATCGAAGTTCAATATTGTTGAAAACAGAAATTAAAATGACTTATTTTGTAATGTCAGGGTGTTTAAATTTACATTACAAAATCACTCAATTGCGCCATATTGTTTTTTTATCATTATAATTTCCTGAAGCGACGAGTTGTGATTTTATAGTAAATTTATAAAAATTCGTATTAAAATTAATATACAAGGCGCAATACGAGGAGCTTTAACATCTTTACTTCAGGATGTTTTTTCAATTTGTAGACTGATGCATTACCAATGAATCAAAATACCTTTATAATAACTGTTCATTACGTAATTTGTTTATGTACGTAATGGTGTAAGTTATATTCAAGTAAATCGTTGTTAAAAAACTGTATCGATAGTAGATCAAATTTCAACAAGTTGGAAAAATCTTCTAATTCATAATATAAAGCCATGTTAACTAGAAATCATTTAAAAGGGTTTTTAATAATTTGAGATCAAGTATACTCAATTTTCATGTAAATTATTAGTATATAACACCATTAAATAACATGTTATATTTTTAAATATATAATTTATGTCCACTGTACGCCAGTTGGTTACCTACTTGATACTTTGGTTGTGTCCAATTTTTGTAATCTTTTGAACTTTTCTTTTGAGCTATTTGATGAATTTACATGCAAAATCGTTCAAATTTTAGTTTTTAAACCTTTGGAGGGGGTTTTTTTAAATTTCGTTTAA